TGGAGTAGGCGTCTAGGCGGGGTACGATCCGGCATATTAGATAGTACCAGGGTATACCGGACCGTACCCAGGGTACATTCCGGCAGTACCCTGGGGAACATAGACCCTATGAGCCACAATACCTTCATCATCCTGGTGAGGTTGACTTCCATCGGAATCTTCCGACTCCTCGTACAGGTCCTGCTGCGACCGCTTCTTCGCAGCCTTATCGATTCTCTGTTTACCATACTACATCCAAAAAAACATCAGACCAAAATAACAACAGCTCCGATGGGACTACAATGCATTAGATTCGGGCCTGGCATCTTTACCGTAGTACGTATGGTATATACCGTACGCAACGACTGCGAAAGCAAGTATAAGTGCACGCACGTGGTATAATGATTAATGAGCTTATCTAACTACTATTACTAAAGTAAAGCACCCAAATTTAAACTGGCGTTATAAATTTTATTATTAATAAATGACAGGCGTGAATTTAGAGATTTGCATTTACTGGTACTAGTTAGTCGACGACTACCGGTAGGTACTGTAGTCTGTAGATTGCCCCACTTACATAATACTACCGGTACTATTATATTAATAGTATTAATACATTATTACTTACTCATACAGTCATACATTACTGATTACCGGTACTGTATATTATTACTCACAGAACAATCAACAAGTTCAATCAATGCTTAGTCGAGTAATACCTACATCAAATATCTTCAGGACCAGCTTCAAGTACGCCTTACGAAGGCCTAAACTCGTTCCGGTAAACGCCAATATAACAATAAGTACGATTGAACACACGAGAGGAAGAAATGCGAGAGACAGAAGCGCAATAACATTAACAACAATGTCCGCCATGTTTAAATACAGAGTGCATGCTACCGCACCAAACTACCGCCTGTGCTATCGCCGCACCGCCAATGACGTTTGTTCATGCCGATTGCCGCATGAGTCGATACGATGAGTCGCCGTCGCTACTATGGCATGTTTTTTGTTTCATAATTCGATTTTTGTTTTATGGTTGATTTTATCACATATAACATTCGATTTATCACATCTAACATTCGATTTATCACATATAACATGCGATTTATCACATATAACATTCGATTTATCACATATAACATTCGATTTATCACATATAACATGCGATTTATCACATATAACATTCGATTAATCACATATAACATTTGATTTATTGCATATAACATTTGATTTATCGCATATTATAATATTTGGTTATATAATCATGTTATATGCAATAAATCGACAATAATTCCCTGTTTTAAATGTTCACATTATTTGATTTTATATCAGAAAAGAGAATCAAACCATTCGATCCTGGCATCAAACCATTCGGTTTTGGAATCGAATCATTCGA